TGGCAGAGATTAAACAGGATATTTAAAGAAAATTTTACAGCAATGTATAGACAAAATTCAGTACGTGTTATTCGATTCGAAGGCGCCCTCACATTAACCCATGAGTAAATGTACTCATAGTTTGTTTGTTTTTTTATTTGTAGATTTGGCACAATTGTCTTTGGGATATTTGTACTTATTGGACAAGTAAGTAGAACTAATCTAATGAAAGCCAGAAGTTCAGTATTTTTTTTTTCCAAAGATATATTATTAGAGAGCACCACTTCTTGTTTACTAGAAATTAATAGCCAGCTGTTGAATTTTTCTATTTTAGTGTATCTTTGCTGTCGGCGCCTCTATTAACAGCTATGTTGTCATGGAAATAGGACGCTTTGTCTTTGGGTAAGTCAGTTCATATTACTATACCTCATAACTACTATTAGATAATAACATTTCCGTGGTCAATTTTAACTGGTAAGAGCACACAGGGAGACTACCATACCACCTGCCTATGTGAATCGTATGCAAACTGCGTAATTACCCTCACAGATTGAAATGGTTAATGTAGACGAACGGTTTGCTGTTCAATATTTATGAGGTATAGTAAACAAATACAATATAATGGTGTTATTTCGGTAAAGTCAGTGGATTCTACTTCCCTTGTTATTGAATGATTGGGACTACATCATTCACTACTCCACCTAAAACCATGTTGTATTTGTATATTCCACACAATTAGAATATAGAACTACAGTGCATTATTATTGTACTCATTTAATAATATTATAGTTTTTAACCCTTTTTTAGGCTAGGTGGAGAGAATTTAGCTGTGGCCCAGAACACATATGCTGTTAGTTGGTTCAAAAATAAGGAGTTAAACATGGTATTTGGACTTCAGCTGAGCTTTTCGCGAGTGGTACGTAGGTTAATTCAGTTCTATTTAATTTTATTTCAACTAAAAATCCATTACAGAAAAAATGTTACTCCAAATAAAGAAAGGGAGGTCATGATTTAACGTTTCAAGCTTTATTGGGGCTTCCTGAAGATGACCCAATAAAGAATGAAAACATTGAATCATGGCCTCCCTTTTTTTTTTTATTTGGAATAACGTTTGTTCTGTGTTATTCAAGTATAATCAGTGCATCTGTTGGTTTTGGAAAATCCATCATTTGGATAATAAAAAATGACAAAAATATAAAAAATTTAACATAGAGTATGTACATTTAAAAAAGTGGTTGGTGAAAAATAGTTGAAAACAATATATAAGAACATTCAAAATTCAGAATAAAATCATTAAATTATTAAATTGCAAATATATTTACAAAAAAACAAAACAAGACAAGGAATTCACAATTGAAAGGAGCAGTAGATATTTTTAAAATTGGACAAATTTGACATTAATTACAATTTCAGAAAGTTCACAATACATATAAAATTTTAAAAGCACTAACAAAGGAAACAAATTGGTTGAAAATTGCTGGAAAAAAAAATGAAAGTTTGTAAGGTTTATGTAGCAGTACATACTGGAATCTCTTCATCCTGTAATTGGCTTATTTTGTTTCTAGTAAAATGTATGTTTTTCAAATATACACATATCTAATTTTGTTTCAACATTTGAACATATTTTACCTTAATCATTTCTGTGTGATGCTCTTGCAGGGTAGCACTGTTAATATGAATGTAATGAAACCGATTTACGATGCAACGTCTGAGGCCTTGCCAGACTACAAACGCCTCGCAATTGCATTGTGGGTTGGTGAGTCACTGATCTTGCGTTGACCTTTCTGCTTCGACATGGAGGTTACTTAGTTTCTGGCACTGAAACCCATGCTGTTGCAGGATGCAGCCTTGTTGCTAGTCAGTAAATGGAAGTGATAAGGGTGTCACTGGAATGGTGACAAAGACAAATGTGATGATAATGATGATATCTAACAAATAATGATGAAGATGTTAAATGCGAACAACAGTGACTATGGTAATGATATCGCAAAGGTGATGTCGATGATGTCATTATTGTCATCGTTAGTGACGACAATGATGGTGATGGCAGTCATGGTGATGATTGGTGTTGATGGTTGTGGTGATAGTAATGCTGATGGTGGTAATGATAATGGTTTTGATTGTGGTAGTGATGGTGTAGAGATGATAGTGGTGGTGTTGATGATAATGGTAAAGATACTGGTGATGATATTGTTAATAATGGTGGTGGTATGGTGATGATAGGGATAAACATGATGATAGTGATAAACATGATGATGATGGTGGTAAATAGTGAAAGCAATCCTTTGTTCTGACATAGGTGCTGGATTCTGTATTCTGTCAATGATCTGTGGCCTGATGTTGTGGTACTATGATGCAAGAGCTGCTAGAATCACCAAAAAAGGTTTGGGAGAAACTGGCGAGGTCATCAAGCTGAGCGACGTCAAGGACTTCCCGTTAACCTTGTGGCTCATTTTTCTCGTCTGTGTTATGTATTATGTGGCAGTATTTCCTTTCATTGGGCTTGGAACGTGAGTATATACTGTATTAACTTGATATGCCCATCATGTGCGAACCATGCAACTTGTACATACACACTCGGTTTGAACGTGTGTATACAAAAATTATGTCTGAAGCTGCTTTTTCTTTAAACTTATGTGTATGCACATGTTGCATAGTTCACATATGTTTGCACACATTAACGAACAGTTACAAAATGTGCTTATCTACTAACCTAAACATAATGGATTTTACATACATAAAGTTGGAGTTGTCAAATGCTGTTTAAATTTTATTTGAGAAGAGATAGTATATGAACATAATTCATTCAAAGTTGACCTGACAACTATTGATATTTTCCAGGTTTTGGTGTGAACATGCCTAATATGGTTCATACAACATACAAGTTTTTAAAAATATGGATTTGTACTATGAAATATTGCTTACAACACCACCCTCTAACTTAAGGCCACATATGACATCATGTAATAATAAGTTGATAACAATAATAATAATTCAAGATCTACGTAGTGAGTTCCGTTGAACCAACCTCGCTTTACAATCATGTGAAGAAGAAATAATCATTTTTAATAAACTTAAATCTTACAGAGTTTTCTTTCAAGACAAATTTGATTTCAATCCTACAGAAGCTAATCTAGTTAACAGGTTAGTACAGTAATGTGGGAAAGATTGTTAGCAGCATTCACAAGATATTCTTTCTGTGCTAAGATATTTAATTGAATAGCTCTATTGAGAGGAACAAACAGCTTCCAATAATACACAGAAAGAAGAAATACAATTTTTTGCTGATTTAAGATCTTTTAGGCAAGACTTTTTTTATACCTTGTTTTACGAAATTATTTTTTTAAAGAGGAGGGCGGAAAAAAAATAAAAATAAAATGTTGTTTTCTTACTTAGCAAACAGTCCTGCCAAAAACATCCACACGGAGGCGAAAATAAGAATAACATTTTATTGGTGAATGTAAACAATGGGATGGTTAAAATAAAAAATAATGAGAGAGGGAGAAGTTGATTAGGGGAGAACGAGTTATCCTTGGTATTATTACCAAGGATATTTTAGTGCAGTTATTTTGATATATATTACTTATTAATTTTATTTTTTTAGGCCCAAGGCCAAGGATTTGCCAAGCAGCATATTGAATCCCTTTTCTTTAAAAGTGGCATATATATCCCTTCACAAGGCAAACACAAACACAAGATGCTCTACATAAACTAAGTCTATGAGGATTAGGGAGTTGATTCAGTCATGAGGAAAAATCCTGTTACCATGACAGGCATTGAACCCAGGACCCTGAGATTGGAAGGCAAACATCTTAAGCACTATTCAACTCCACTATTAGTTGTCATGCCAACAACTCCTTTTTCATTTAACTGTATTTTTAATTCAAGTCTATAACAACTCTACGTATTCACCTCTATATCCCTTCATCTTTACGTTTCTTATCAGTTTGGTTTATTTCATTTCGGCTGGGGCATCGCCTGTTTTTGGGTTTGCTGTTGACAAGACTGGAAGAAATATATTCTGGGTGGTGTCTGGCGTCGTACTTACAATCGCAGCGCATTTTATGTTAGCATTCACATTTATTAATCCATTTGTCACTATGGTACGTACAAAACTTAATATTGTTTTATCAACGTTATTGTTATTGCTGTTGTTAATGTTAGGAGAGCAGTCTTCAGAAAATTGTTTGGAATTGTATCGGTGTAATACCTAATTTTATTAATCCATTTTTCACTTGGTAATTACAAAGCTTAATTTTTTTTTTAAATATCAACATTATTGTTATGTTTATATCTGATGTTGCTGCTGCTGTTGGTGCTGTTGTTGGTGTTACTTAGCTTTGTAATATTTATTACACTCAATTTCAATACATAAAAATACAATTAACAAAAAAAAACGTAAAAAACTAAATTCAGTGCATGGAATAATAAAATGGGAAAGGAATGCAGGGGATAGCTCTATAATGAGCCCTGAGGCTTGTATTTCTAGAGGTCCCCAACATAATGATAGAAACTGGAACATAATATTAAGCAGACCCATCAAATCTGAAACCAGCAAAAACAATATGAAAAAAATGTCAAAAAATATTAGCAATTGTTACAGGATACACAAACTGTTTTATTTGCTGCTGTTGTTGCTTGTTGTTGTTGTTGTTGTTGTTAGTGGTGCTGTTGTTGTTGCTGCTGTTGTTGCTTGTTGTTGTTGGTGGTGCTGTTGTTGTTGCTGTTGTTGCTTGTTGTTGTTGTTGGTGGTGCTGTTGTTGCTTGTTGTTGTTGCTGTTGCTGCTGTTGTTGTTGTTACTGTTTTTGTTGGTGTTGCTACTGTTGTTGTTGTTGCTGTTGTTGCTGCTGTTGTTGTTGCTGTTATTATTGTTGCTTTTGTTGTTGTTGCTGGTGCTGTTATTGTTGTTGCCGGTGCTGTTGTTGCAGGTGCTGTTATTGCTACTGCTGTTGATGCTGCTGCCGAAATTGCTGCCGATGTTGCTGTTTTTAATGTTAGAGAACACTTTACCCAGTTCAACACTAGAAGGCCACTACCAAAAATAAGACTTTTGTTTATACCTTTGGTGATTGACACACTAGTCAAATGCAAACCGATCCAATTGTTATTGTTATTACTATTATTTATTCTTTTTCTTTTCTTTACAGAGTCTTATGGGCATTGCATATTCTTTACTTGCCTGTGCACTGTGGCCTATTGTAGCATATATTATGCCGGAACACCAATTGGGTACTGCCTATGGCTTGTAAGTATTTAAATACAATCATATGTATTCTCAACCTGCTGTCAGGAGCTTGTCACTTCAACTTGGCGCACACAAGAGCAGGTTCTCGTCAAACTTTTTTGAGTGACACTGAGCTTACCTGCATATTGATGGGATAAAATACATTCTCATATTTTATTGATTGTCACATACTTGCTAGCCCCACAAGCCCGGGCAAGTCAGTTAAACGAGCACTTATGATTGGAAAATCCATTGCCATGTCTACTGACAGCAAACTGTTTTCTCAAGGCAGGCGCACATGGCGCGCATTCTTCTTCTTGAGACAAAAATAATAAATGCTATAGATATTTTATTTTCGTGAGGCAGAATTCCTACAAAAATACACCAGGCTTTACAGAATGCTGAGAGACACACGTTTGTTTGAATTTACCTGTTAAAATAACCCCTTTTACATTCTCTCTTCCTTAGCATGCAGTCAATTCAGAACCTTGGCCTAGCTATAGTACCCATGGTTGCTGGACAGATTTTAGACGAGAAGGGATATCTTATACTAGAAGTTTTCTTCAGTGTTCTTCTCTGTGGTAATCATGTATATATTTGCTTTATACTCAATGGGAGGGGTGTGGGTGGGGGTTGAGGGATTGTGTTATTCCCTCCGTTTCCATCCACTAATGGATGTTTACCACTCTTACATCCAAATTGTATACAATCATATAGCAGCATTATAATAATACAATGCAAGAAATACAAGGAAATTTTTAAATAAAATTGTATAGTGTAGACTTATCATGAAGAATGGAAAAATGCGTAACTAAATATATTATGTATGTATACATGTCATGAATTTGATGATTAAAAAATAATAATACTGTGCACTCAGATTAATATTTTTGTTAAATAAGGGCATTCCTTCAATAGCATTACTCCCCACCAATGTGGTCCTCTTAGGGGAGAAGGCTGGCTTCATCCTTGGGGAGGTGGGGTGTTGCGAAAATTGAGAATGCGAAACTTGGGGGTGGCAGTTCGAAAAATTGAGAATGTGGAACTAAATCCCTATGCCAATGAAAACCTAAAGCCATTTTCATTATTAGTAAATTTAACTCACTGGAACTAACTTGCTGCCATATGGGATGCCATCTCCCCAGTCTGCCAGTATCCCCTCCTCTCCAGTGCACCCTTTCCTTTTAATGATATCCCCTTTCTGGATTACAGTACACTCAGTCATGAAAAATAGATACAGGGATTATAATTACAGTAGATGCTTATATTTTACAGTACACCCAGAATCATGGCTATAGTGGTTATAATTAACAAGATGCTTTTATGTTCTAATAATTACTTTTCCTTGCTTTTTTAAGTTGCCCTGATTGGTAGCCTGTGTCTGTATTTAGTTGACCTATCAGAGGGCGGATTTCTAAACATGTCGGCTAAAGAACGCGAATTCCATAAGAAAAGCATTGCCAAACGAGAGTAAGTGAGCAAATAAAGTTCAGATTATTCACAATAGTGAATTAATTATTCCAGTATTGAGTTTTAATTCAATTATATGTTTTTGGTTTTAAAATAGGTATTTCTTTGTGTATCTTCATGTATGTATTTTTAATTTGTGTGGAAAATGCTTAAGTAATTATATTATTATTATTATTATTATTAAGTATTATTATATTATAATTATATTATTTTTTAGAGACAGTCCCAACAAAAAAACAGTTCTTCTCTGAAATATCAATGCAATGTACTGCAAGTATTATTGAGAACAATTTGTTGCGGATTTAACAGATGTTTTATTATAAATCCTTAAGCTGATCATCACCGAATTCAAGAGTTTTTGTTTAAAAAAATTATGGTCAGATTATATCTGTTAATTAAAAAGAAAAATGTTTTGCTTCACAATTTTTCTATTGAAAAGTTAATAACTTATAAATAAATACAAGGTATGCAAATATGGAATTTTTTTTCTAAATCTACACAGACAGTACATGTGTAAATAAGCATTTGGGTTATTTTCTTACCTACTATATAATTTTGTTATTTTTAAAAATTTTGATAGAGTTGAAAAACAAAACGATCCGCATCTTCTCAAATCACCTTTGCAGGCGCGAAGTGCATTTGCACTGCGAAACCGTTACCTGTCACGCATTGGTGCTAAGGTAAGCCAGTAATTGTTTCTAAGGAGTGAAGTAGAGTTAAATAGCTCAGTGGTTAAGATGCTTACCTTCTATTCCCAGGGTTCTGGGTTCAATTCCCTCATGATTAAAAACAACTCCATATAGAGACTTCGCTGATGAAAGCACCACATTATTTCATATATTTATGATGGCACCCTGAATATCAGCTGACTTTCTAGGATGTGCTGGAAGGGTCACTTTCTATAAATATGGATAAAAAATAAAAAATAAATAGATAAATAAGGTCTTTTGCGATTCAAACCACCACTGTGCGATTCAAACCACCACTGTTTGTAAGCCAGTTGAAAGTAAAACATGTTTGCATTTGATTTTTTTTTTTCCAGTTGCCTGATCATTTTAATCCACATGTCAAAGCTCTGTCGAGACATGGCGTTCTACAATAAATCGGGTTGTTATTCTAAATTCCAACTTCACCAAATGTGTAAAAATTCACATTAAATGCTGAAAATGATGGCTGGACCAGCATTTCTGATATGGAGTGGTTCTGATTTGAGCAGTGTAGAGTCAACCAACTAATTCATTTTATAGAACCATTTACTATTATTAAATGTTTTTGTATTATTACCATAGCTTCTCATGTTAAGCCCACACCATTATTTTTTTAGGTTCAAGTAGGATATCATTTAACTGAAAAAGGGATTTTAAATTGTTCAGGGCTTGGGGAACACAAACTTGTTTTATTGGCCTTATCTTATTATAAAATATCTATACATGATTTTATTATCTTAATGAAACAAATATTTTACATTTTAGCAAATCGACAACTCATTTTGTTTTGCTGTACTTTAATTATAGGCATACATTCCAACTTGATGTAGCCCTAACCGAAGGCCTACATGAAATATTTGGTACCTTTGTTTTGCCATCCAAAGGACATAAAATTACAAAGAGACACAATGGAGCTCGTAGTATTAATAAACACATCAAAACCTCCACCGCCCACATACCAAATACACACATTACATACATAACATACACAGTATTCATTCTTAATCAAGAAGTGTTGTCAATTCTAAATATTACTACAGTATATGTAACACTGATTTTTAAACTTCAACATGTAATTTAGAATATTGTAATTATTTAGTATATATAAATTCTTTTTTTTTTAAAGCTGTAATTATGTATCATTTTATGTAATACAGTACTCATGTGTTTTGATTGAATAAAAAATAATTTTTTAAGAAAAATATTTGATGTTGTATTTTGGATTAATTGCAATGTTGCCAGTAAAATACAGACACAGACACCAACAAAAGACAGCATTAAAAAACACATGAAGAAAACAAAAGGAAACAGAAAGAGATAAAGATACATAGATGCAAACTAAGACCTTGAACCAATCAACGAAACAAACAATTGTTACTGTTGTAGTAGCCGTCTTCTTTGAAAGACACATAGCTGTCATTGATGGGATCTGTTGACAAAATCAGTGCTGGTTCTTACATTGAGGTCAAATATTTACCATTATGCTATGCAAATGCATTTCAGTCTTCTTCTTATTTTATTTTATACTTTCAATTTTTTTTTAAAGTTTGTTTTATTAATTAAAGAACTTAACTTCTGTTTCTAGTCGGTAGTTGAAGTTTCCCTTGATTGAGTTGATGCTTTCACCTAATCAGCATCTATTCCTGGCATCTTTCCAATTTTAATTTATGGGTACGGTCAGTGGTGGCTCTAGGATATAATTTATGGGGGGACTAAGATGTCCGACTGAGGGGGGGGACCTAAGTATTTATGGGTGTAACTATAGTGCGCAGCGTTATCTGAGGGCCGAAGGCCCGAGCCGGGTGTGGGAGGGGGATGTCCCCTCCTCCCAAAAAAAAGATTTTTTTTTTTAATCAGGACTTCTAGATGGCCGGAAATGGCTGGGATGGGAAAACTAGTCCTATATATTTTTTTTTTTTTTGGTCCGACTGCCTGACGAGCTTTGGCCAATGGAGGGCTTGACCAAACCGATGTTAGAGGTTGTTCACAATTTTCAACATTTTTAAAAGTGTACAAACAGTATGCTAGGGGTTCAACATTTTCAAAAGAGTACAAAAAGTCCACTGGGGTGGGGGTGGGGAGGGGTAGACAAATTTGTACACTTATACATATGGATGACAATGTTGATTCAAAGTAAAATGCACTTTTTAAAATAATAGATTTTTACGACCAGTTGTAACCAGTGATATAATAGACAATTTTTATACAGTAAAGTACAGCTAACTTGGAGAATTGTTTTGCAAAATCAAAATTTTTAATGTACACTTTCAGAGGGGTGAAGGGGGTACCGAAAAGGAGTACTGTTTGTACACTTGCAAAAATGTTGATAATTGTAAACAACCCCTTACACACTCCTAAAAATATGCCCTGTTATGCCCCATTCTTACTGGAAACTGCTCCTGATGATTATTGCAAGGTTAAATATTTAAGATTTTTTTTTTAGGTACCATGAAAACATTTCTAAGTATACACAAACTCGCTAGTACAGTATTATCATTTCTTTTATAATTATTTATTATTGAATATCTCTGTATACCTTCAGTTCATGACATTAGCAGTAACAGTAAAGCAAATTCCAATTCCACACTTCGAATAATTGATAGCATTGCAGTGGTGCATTATACCATGGATTAATTTGTGAGAAACATGAGTATGCATAGCCTTGGCCAGATCAAGGGGTTTTGGAAACATTGGTGAAAGCTGATTTTAAAAATGTTATCTCAATACAGTATAATAATACAGTATTAATAATTATAGCATTACAAATAATACAAGATCATTTTATTGTAAAAAATACAAATGGATTCAACACACATAGCTGCACCACCAGAGAGTCTCAGATAAAAGGTGTGAAGGTCCCTGTCAGGGGGTGGGGGACCCCCACCCCTGAATGTTTAGGGCTGAGGTGATTTAAGAGGCACCTTTGAATTCCTAGAAATGGTATTCTCAGACTGTAAAATGCTTTTTTAAAGCAGCATTTCCCCACAGGGTTCCATGGGTTCCTAGACCACAGGCACTCCTTCAGAAGAGACATGGGTACCTCTAAAGTGAACTAAATCGCTATCAAGTAGTCTTGTATTACAAAAAAGTAAATCGCTCCATATACTATATAATATGTATAAAGGTTATAGACAGTGCTCAGTGTCTTCCTAACCCTTAAAACTGCTACTGATTGCATTCCCCCAAAACAGTGTTTTGTATAACACCCCTTTACAAAATTGATACTCTACAAAAGCAACATTTTCACCAAAATTCTCTGAATTTAATAAATGTATAATGCATTATTATTATTGTTATTTAGTATTACAGTATTTACATGGTAGCACACCATGACCAAATTACCTATAAATGTAATTCATAATATAATAATAATAAATAATTATTATTAGTTAAAATATAATTTAATATTAAATCATCAAATCATTCTTTATTTAAAACAATAAAAAGAATGTAACATAAAAATCAGGTCATGGTTTTATCAGACACATGCAGGGTGGCAACAAGAAAAATATAATAAAAGAAGAATATGATTTTTTTTTTTAAGAGCACAAATTGAAAAAAAAGAAAATATACAAGTATTGGCAATTCACCTACTCAGCTTGCTAATTTGTTTTTTATATGTTTTACATCGTTTACTACTTTAATTTAAAAACATTATTTAATCTTGTTTCATTAGCTTTGGAGAATACTCCCCTAGATCCAACCTGAATTCAAAAAATGTACATTTATAACATGTACTTTAATATCTTCATATTTGCTACATTTATAAATATGCGTGTGTGGATGTAATATATACGGCACATAAATTTGCCCAAATTACTTTTAAATGGAAAATAATTAAATTTTAAGTAAAATTAGCAAAATGTAACAGAACCAAATGATAAATTTGTGTTTCTACTTATAGTTTAAACAGCAACAATAAACTACAGGTATGCAAATGAGGATATGCTAATAGACAAAATCTGGCACAAGATCAGGAAAAAATAATGACAGTATTGTATTTTGGGAGGGTGGGTGGATCTAGGATTTTTTTACTGGGAGACCAAGCTGCAAATCTAGGACCTATTGTCCAAGTGCAGTGGCGGCGCCAGCAGGGGCGGGGGTGGGGTGGGAAAGGGACAGGCTTAGGCCCCCTGTCGTTTGACGCACATCTAGGCCGTCAGATCAAAAAAAAAAATTGCCTATCCAACGTTATTTTGACTACCAATCCCTAATATTGTGGTCTAAAAGCACATTTTGGACCATATTAAGCCATAAAAACTTGTCGTCCCCTTGGCTTGGACCCTGTCGTACATTTCGGACCATTTGTCGTCAAATATCTGGTGCCACCGCTGTTCGAGTGTCTCTTTTAACTATCGTGGGCTATGCCCCTTTAAATCTCAAGATATTAGCCATTTTATTGTCATATATATTATACAATTTAATAATTGATTAGTTATTTTTATTGCTGATGGATGGGAAGAACTGAGCCTTTTTTGCCAGTGATCCCTGGATCAGATTGGTGCTGTTGTTCACACTATCTATTCATATGTGAACCCTCGACAAGGCACTTACTAGTCACTTCTCATCCAAGATTATAAATAAAGGTGCCTGGTTGGATATAATGTTCTCTTGAATACATTAGTGTATGCTGCTGATATTAATATATGATTAGAAATTATCCCATACAGTAGAAGTGAAGGAGATTGAGCATGATTATTGCTGTCTATGATGACCATGGCTAAAATAGGAAGAGACAGTGCAATGCTAATGTGTACGACAAATATTATTATTGTTTTCGTTATCAATTGATGAAGATTTATTATTCAGTGATAAATGAAGGATATAAATGGTTTTGTGCATTCAGTGCACTTTTTTTGTTTAAATTTTACCATAAAGCTAATAGTCTATGGAATTATAATTAGTAATTAAACACCTTAGAGACGACTTGAACATAATTTTATTAACACAAATTGTGCACAAAACAAGTATGACTACCGAACAATTATCGCATTATGTTTACCCTTTAAATAATGCCCTCATAATAACCCTAAAGTAATATGAACTATGCTAATGGAAGCCAGCACCATTCTAACACCAATATTTGACCGAAGTAGAATAAACTTCCAGCATATTAGATTTTCAGGTCCAAAACTTCAGAAACCCTGAGAAACCATTTACCATTTCAAATTTTAAGCAAGTGCCAATTTCAATAAATGTTTTTCTAACCAGCTTAAAAATACTTAAAAGTTATTAATCATATCTATTTCATATCTCTCCGATTCTCTTTGCCACCTGTCTCGGTTAGTTGGCCTGAATCCAATTTGTATTGTTTTGCCTCACTGGTTTGCTTATTTGTTCTTTGTGTCTTGTTTCATCCTGTTTTGTTCCTGTTTTTCATTTTGTTTCTTTTTATATTTCAGGCTGTCCCAACACAAGATTTGTTTCCTTATCCTTCCGGGGCTTTGCCTTCTTCCTTTTTCTTTTTTTTTTTTATATCGTGTGATAACAAGACTTAATCAAGAATGAATTTGTTATCATGATGGTATAAAATACTTATGTGTTGTGTTGTCCTCTACATTTTCAGTTCAGTTGAGTTTGATCCCATGAAAAAACACCTCCCTCAAATAAACCCCCCCCCCCTTTAAAAACCCAAAACTTGTACATTGTACTTACTGTATTCGAATAAACATTATAGTATAGTATGGTAGGTCGTGAGGTAAACCAATAATTGTCAAAGCTTAATTTTATACTAACATGAAGAATGAATATAATTTCAACCAAATTTTAACTAAGGAAACAAAATTATATTCATTCTGGGTGTTAGTATAAAATTAGGCTTTTTCAATTAGGCATTTTTATTTCTTAGTATAGTTTAATAAGTTGTATATATAATTCTATTTGTGTACCTCACGACCTTTTGTGAGAACACCCACAGGGTGTAAGATTGTCTTGAATAAATAAATATTATTATTATTAGGATGGCAATGAAGAAGTTTAGCAAATGCATCAATCATTGTTTTCAACTCTGCTTTGGTCATAATTGCATCTCTTGTTTATGGTTCATAGAATAAATTAATAATTAATTAACAATTAAATAATATTGATTGCCGGGAATGTGTGTAGGATATAGAATATTGATATTTAGGAGTTACATAACTCAAGCATAACAACATATTTTGATTATGACACTTATTTTGCAAAAACAACTGAAGATCGAAAATTAACAGCTGAAATTATAACATCAACGTTACAAGATGTGGAGGTGTATGCTACAAATCCTATCAGCATAAAAGCTAGTGAGTATGTTCAGTGGTGAGTCAAGGGGATGATTCACTCAAAATCTTACAAAATTAAAAAATAATGGAGAAAAAAAGAATTATATTCAAATTTTAAATCTAATAGTGCCATTTCCAGCCATCTGGAGGTGCCATAATCATATTTTCTAACATCTAACCTGTGAAATCCCTCCCTGGGACCCCTCTATTTCAAGTTTCTGGATCTGCCACGGATGTCTTCTCTAATTTTCAAGGTAGCTATAATTCCACAATTGTAGTTTAGTGTTATAATTGGGAACTCCTCAAGCAAAAATTAATATTATTTGAATTACTCATTTAAAGGACCAACAGACAAATAAAAACAATTAAGGGTATAAAATGTGGTTTATTTGTTATAGCAGGATTAATAAATGCTATAATGATAGTTCCAAGCATTTTCAATATATTATTTTATTTGTACCGTAAATATGATCAATCTTTATTTTAATATATACATTATTTATTTTTGAATTACATTTATCATGGTGGTAAGTTTTTGTAGGTGCCTGTTCTTGCCATACTGGTTTGTTTGTTGTGTGTTATTGTTACCAATGAAATTTGAAACAGGGGTGGCACCAGTGGGGGAATGGCTAGGGCCAGGCCTCCCCCTCCCCTTGTCGAGAGAAATATACACTACATCGGGGAAAAGAAAAATTTATATATATTGTTTACATAGTAAATGCTAAAATCTTTAGATAAAAGTCTTTGAAACCCCTAAATTGTCATACTTTTCAGAGGATAGTCCCAGGATCACTTCGGGAGATTTTGAGGGAAGCTCGACCATGCTCATTTACATCTCGTCGGGTAGTAAAATAAACGTAGACTTACAGATTTCACAAGATGATACCAAAACATGCATCAAATTAATTTTATAAAGATAGAAAATTTAAAATAATGGATACAACTGAACGTTTTTTAGTAATAAAAATAAATTATAAAATTAAAAAATGGGCCTAATGAAAACATTTTGTAGTAAATTCAAATTTTGGCAGATTAAATTTCTGTATTCAACAGTACAGGGCATTGTTCACTTCAGTTTTCTTTATTCGCATTACATTTAATATGCACAATATAAATAAAAATTCAATACAAAAGCACAAACACCTAAGGTTTTGTAAAAAAAAAAAATTTTTTTTTTAAAATGAATGAATGCAGACAATAAAATACGAAAAATATAAATGTCCTAACTAAATCGTGCCTTTATAGAACTTTCAATAGGAAATCAGGTTCTCGATCTCTGAACATATTTCAACAATATACATTATCCCACAGCCATATAAACAGGAGTACACATTTGTTATTTCCCCTGGAGGCCACTGGCTCTCTAGCATCCGAGGCAGAAGCCCCTAAATCCATAATGAACATGTTTAATGTACACTGCACTCTGTTCCCTGCTGAATAAACTCCTTCCTGAATGGATTCAAATATAACTCGGCTATTTCTAGCATTGTTATATGTGTATTTTGTTTTGTTTTGTTTTGCATTGCATTGTAAATTTTTGTCCCATGAAGATTGGGGAAATGAAAAGTTACTGAAGAATGCAAGGTTGTTATTCTATAAAAGTCAAATTCAATCAATAGCTGAATTTTGCTATAATAATAGTTTTGTTGAAAATAGACAAAAGGCTAATTAATTCAGGAAATATACCTTTGTTATATTCTTTGTTTGAATTACAATATCAAAGTTTCATATAGCGAATCATTTTCATAAATTAGCAAATTGCTTAATAATTAGCAGATGAAAACTTTCGAAGTATACAAATATTTAATGTCATTTTATACACATTTTTAACTGGTCATAAAAGCTCAAATATGTTTTATATGTCTGCAACTCCTTTGCTATCTGTTTGTGTTTGAATTATATCAAAGTTTTATACAGCGAATCATTTTCATAAATTGGCAAATTGCTTAACAATATTTAGCCAGATGAAATCTTGTAAAGTATACCAATATTTATTGTCATTTTATACACATTTTCAACTGGTTATAAAAGCTTAAATATGTTTTATATGTCTGCAACTCCTTTGCTCTCTGTATGTAATCCAACATTGAATTGTAAAATTCAAAGAGTTTATATCCTTGATACTGTATATTTAAAGAACAATCACGAGGTAAACAATCTAATAATTTGCTGTATTTAATTCTGTCAAATGAGCTATTGAAAATTTTAATTGGATTTTTGGTGCTATTTTCCTATCTTTTGTCTATCTAACTCAGCATAAATGTGTATGATATTTAATTGGCTTTTTATGGTCAATGAACCAGGAACTCTCTCACAATCTAGATGTCACAGACACCAAGTTCAGGTGACTCCTAATACGTAGAATTGTTGATGACTCATGAAATTATGACAAAATACAGTCATGATATAATTGGTAATGTCACCACTAGGCCTACCCATAAAGGAATGAGGTTGCCGACATAACAATACCGTATACAGTTCGGATAATTTTAATACAAAATCGGTTATCAAATAAGTTATCTTCTAAAGCGACTTTCAGATATAGACGTTAATGCAATTGCAGTATACGCCCAAAAGCATTAATGTTACCGCAATATTCAATCTGATGCTTTTCTGTGTGAAAGGGTCCGACAGAATGGCATCATTTTGGCGGTTCAATAAATGAAATAGCGCTTCGCAAGCTTTGGCTATGCTTGAGTGCACATAATGGCTTTACTTGCCACAATATCCATCTAGAGGACTTATTCCGACAGAGCAAGCCAATCGCTTTCATGTAGTTATAAAAGTGCTATTTTTTGTGATTTTTGCTAGTTAATATATAATTTATTTTTGTACTGGCTTTTGATTCGCAATAAGAAAAACTTCATAACTGTACCTTGTATTATACGAGGACCCCTATGGAAATAAGCTCATAGAGCTTATAGAGTTATACTCTTGCTCTCATTTTTGTGTGTTTTTATGTACTTGTTTTTTTTGTTGTGATATTATAATATGAGGGCAATAAATAATAAACAAACAAACAAATAAATACAATAAAGATATCTCTGTATCTGTAAAGATAATTTGTACTTGCAAACTGATTTGTATTTGCATTATTAGCCAAGGTCGTGGTTTAGAGCAATCCGGATTTGGCGTATCTACCTTTCAGACAGCATGGATACCACAAATGTTGCGATATTGCAGCTCTGTCTGAGAGCTACCATGAAGCTGTTACATCATCAAGACTGGTAAATAACCTTAATTCAATAAACCAAGTATTAATAAAACTGCAAATAAACATAGCAAATAGAATCAATTGTATTCAAGTCTTGTATTGACTTTAAGATTGAATATGAATGAACACAATGGAGAGGAGTGTTCCTAAAAAATATCACCATCTCATGTGGTGAACAAGTCACTTATAACACAATCTTTTAGAGATATTGTGAACAGTTTCATATTGACAAACTGACAAAAGGTAAACTTAGGCCTACATAACTTGTTACAATAATGAAAGTATTATTTTAGCCAAACAAAACATTCTAACAATTTTACTTGTATGAATAAACATTGGACTATAGTTTTTAAAAAATCACACAAATACTACATGGTATGGTATATTTTTTTTTTTTAAATGATTGCATTCCTAGATAAACATCCATTAAGATAAATTACAAACATTTGTGTATCAAAAGAAAGAATAAAATAATAAACTAAGATAGGTTTTGTGGTTCTGATGACCCATGCTTGTACTATTTAATAGCGAAAACATTATAAAATTTGGTCACAGCTTCATTAAAAATAATTCATTCAATCAACATATATATAATATATATAAAATATACATTTTATAAAATAATATTAACAAAAAAAAAACAATATCCCATTGTAAGTGTGGGTCCCCAATTTAATTGCTCACAGGGTCTCATTCCAATATCCCAAGTCTTGATTTTCAAAGCTCCTATTTTCTCATGCAACGACACTCATAGGATCTGTATACCAATGCACCCAGGGGTCTGTCCTACATCCAGGGTCCCAGGTCTTGTCAATTTAAATCAATACACCATACTGTATAAAATGTTATACAATGAATATTATGCAAAAGTAAGACAACGAATTATTTACATGATTAATCTTAAATGTCACTTTCGACCTTTATTTCTAATGTATTGCTGATTATTCCTGGCTGGCAGAGTTTATGCATGCGCATGTTGCTGATTCAGAATATCATATGAAAAGATTGAATTATTCTTGAATGAATTAAAGCTGGATAATTAAGTGGTAGGCCCTGCAGTCATAATTACATGACAAAAAAATGTCATCATTAAGCATGACATTCTTGACTACCACTTCTGAACACTTTACAGATTAAAGGGGCATTCATACAATATTTAAAGGAAAACTTTAAGCCATCATTGAAAATTTTAACATCTCAAGCTCTTGTTGTGATTGTAGCTACTGTAGTTAACCTCTTCAGGTTTAGATGCATCTGAACCTCCACGGAGAGTACATGGTGAACACTTTTACAATGAAAAATTCATGTAGGCCTAAAATTTTATACAAACATAAATTTTATTTTCTTTTTAATTGCTAAAGGTATATTTTTACAAATATATTAGAAATGGTGAGTAACGTGCATTAATACATATATTATATCTATTTTGGTGAAAGTAGCTGGATTATTTTATTTCTTTTAACTATTTGCTTAGGGGGAAGCCAAACCAGTCTTACCAAAAAGATGTAACATTATATTAGTATCACACATTATTTTTCCCTCTTTTAAAATGATGAAGTAATGCTAACTACAGGCACAGCCTGACATTTCCAATTGTTTATTATACATGTGAATATGAAGTTGATTCCACTGAATCACAAGTAAAGGCAGTACTGATTTATTAGACACTGTGTAGAGATATTGATGGAGGTTATTGCAGGACATCTAGACAATTCATTACATGATTCATAAGGATAATTAATAACGTTAATAAATAACGACATGCCACATAATTTGCATTATAATATCATGTAATTGTACATACTCATACTAATGTTTTAAGAGGAAGAATAGTAAAATACTGTATTCACACACATTTTGAAAGAATAAAAACTTGATTATTAACTATGCGCATCAACCTCTACAAGCTGCAGACGTTCCAACCCTTAAATCTCAAAATTGCAAGATGTGAAGGGCGCCTCCACCCCCAGTAATGTTGAAAATCACTTTCATACACATATTTTATTTATTATCATTTTAGTAGTGATCTTTCTGGGTGTCGTACACTCAGAAAGCATTGTATGCCAACATCGTTCATAGTGTTTGAGGTTTGAGAAAATTGCATGGAAATTCAGGAGACGTAATCAAATCGGCATAGTTGGAACACCTCTTGCACACCTGCATGAGTGGTGAAGATTGTGCCAATTTTGCTGGAGACTTTTGTGCGAGACTGATGGGGGTTGGGAGGGCTCAATGATTCAAGTGAGGGGAGAGGTGCAAAAATTAGTGATATGAGGTGATATTTACCTGCTTGAGAGTAATTTTTTTTTTTCTTTGAGCATTTCTCGTGGGGATGGGAGGGTTAGGGCTAGATATGCCACTGATGCTAATTCAAACTTGCATTGCCATTAACATTCTGAATAAGTTTTAATTTGTATGGTGTATAGAGGTTTTATACCAATTAGTACAGTGTGTGTTAAATGTATTGTTAGTTCTATATGTCTTAATTGATGGTCTGTTAATGCTTGATCATTTGAAACAATTATAACCAGATATCCATTCTTTATCTGCGACTCTCATTCATATTTAGATGAGTCTCCTTAGTATGTAATTAACACATAATGTAAGGATGACTCAGTAGAAGCACTTCGTCAAGCAGTAGCATATTGCAAGGATTTGTGATTTAAAAAGGGGACTCGTTTTCATTCAGGCCATACATGGATTGTAACTGACTCGTAAATCATTTTAAGTAAATATATCAAAGCTTCAATACCCAATAATATTTCATTCTAACATTGCAAATCTTGATAAAGTAATCTCAATATTCAAGTTGAATATAATTAGAAAATGTATAATCAGCATATGCATATAATTTTTTTAATGTATTTTGCAAACATGTTGCAGCCGGTTTAGCCATCACATTTTGGAAAAATTATCTGCCAAACAGTAAAAACTGTGTGTTGGTCAGGCCTAGGTAGGCTTTCTTTTAATAATAAACACCATTCCAGTCTAGGCTTAGCCTATGTATAAGTACATCAACCTGTATTGAACCCACCTAAAAGGGTTAACGCCTCTAGCTCGGTTGGCTTTATATGGGTAAAATTACCAGTAAAAAATCTTTCAATTTGGAGAATACTGACATTGGCAAACAAACCATGCAAAAATGTGATTTTGTCCTATATCTGTTGGAATAATTACGAGGAATAAAAATTGTATAAGAAGTCATTGCAATCAACATGTTAAAATCTATGAAAAAATTTTAAAAATATATAATTTAAAAGAAAATATTTAAAAGTTGTACGGTATTCACTATAACAATTAAAACTAACTAATAAAATATGGAAAACTCAATTAAAACATTGAATATTTTCTATTAACACTGTTCAATAACACACCCAAAACAAACAATTATTTACTTTAACAGACCTCAACAAAAACTTCCAAGATTACCAGCCAGGGCCAGTCAATGTAAAATATTTATACTTCCATTAGGGGTCATTCACAAATATCAACATTTTTGGGTATGCCCTCCCTCCCCACTGAAAGTGTACATAAAAATTCATATTTTGCATTTTGTATGTATTGTATTTGATTGCATAAAAAATGTGTCTATTATATCCATGCATGGAGTTATAATTAATTTTAATTTAATTAAATTTAATTTTATAACTCCATGATCCATGGTTGCATAATAATTGGTCATAAAAGTATATTATTTTAAGTACCGGTTTTGCATGTTATTTTGAATCAATATTTTCATGTATATATGTAAAAACGTACAAAATTATCTACCGCTCCTCCTCCCCCCCCCCCCCCCCCGAGCATACTGTTTGTACACTTGTGTGTTGATAATTGTGAATGACCACTTAATTAAAAAAAAAATGTTTTCCTGTAATTAATTCATTTGCTGGGAGGATCATGCTTGTGACCCCTGGTGTTAATTGAATGATGTTCTCAAAAGATCCTACAATTTCATTTTTTTTATAATTGCGTGTAAATATGATTTGTAGGTAATTTGATTATCTATTCTTCAGGCACTAGCAAGACTATCAAATTGTATTTGGCAAAAACATGTGACACACCTAAATATGGTCATAATGATTTCACATCATGACCATATATAGGCACATCAGGATTATATGGGCATACAACAGTTTTTTTGTCAAAGAAAATTTCCTGGGCAGAGCCTAAATCTCCCAAGACTCTGGAAAATGTGTAATAGTTTTAAATTCATATCTAATACAAAACAATTTAGATAATAACTTTTTCAGCTTAGCATGGATGCTATATCTATTGAATTAATTACAGTAATTAAAAGTCAAAAGCATGGACACTTTACAATTACAGCATATCCAACCACATGATAGAGAATTCAGGATGCACATTTTTCAACTGGTTCGTCATTGGTCCAACATTTATTGTAATATTGGTCAAATTTTAATTTAATTATCTAATTTTAATTTTATTGGTCTATTTTAAATACATTTGTGTAACTTTAATTTCATTGGTCTAATTTTAAATACATTTGTCTAACTGAATTTCATTGGTCTAATCTAAATTTTATTGGTCCAATTATAATTATATTGGTCTAATTTAAATGTTATTGGTTCAATTTTAAATTTCATTGGTCCAATTTACTGGTCTCATTTTAATTTCATTGGTTAAAGTGGAATACAAAGAATGTGTTTTCCATTTGAAATAATCCTTTAATATTGACCTTTGACATTAAAACAGAGAATTAATGCAGGCCCACAAACTATGATGGTACACTTGGGAATTGTATTACAAAACACAATTTGACAGCACTGCACACTTTAAATTCATCAATTTGTGTTTCATTTTCATTTAATTATTATCAAACTACCTTGGATATTAATTTGGCTCAAGGTATATGATGTTACATTTTCACAATATTTAAAATCCCTTAGAGCAGGGAGTTGTTACAGTGACTGCTTAAAGCAAGGAGGTACGGAAATAATTCCTCATTGAGTATTTTTCTCAGAAAAATTTTTTTATACCATATCATATTTTGATATCAGTTAATAGTCAATTTTAATATAAGGTCATTTTTCTTTAATGACCTTGCCCCCTCCCCCCACTTAATGGCAGCAAATTAGTGGGCTAAAATACTATAAATGACCATTAAGTTTTCACTGGAAGTTTTTACTGGAATAAGGATTCTGGGATTTAGTAATTTTATTTTTCGCAACCTTCCCTCCCAACCCCATCACACAGACCAAAATCCAGTCTACGCCCCTGGTCACTTTCCAGTCTGGATCTCTATCCTGTGGTAGACACAATTGCTATTTTCATAAATATGCAGGACCATAACCAGCTTGTGTAAGACAGTATAATACATACTCCAAGTATCGAAATGCACGCAATCGTGTCGGGATTCAATATTTCGACATTAATTATGTCATCAGCTTGTGTAATGTAAGGGATCAGTTTCAAACCTAAACAGATATCTCTTTGTGTCAAGGGGAATGAAGTACAGTAGTCTACATCGGGGTGCTGCAAAAATTGGTTTTCCTACATTTTCAAGAACCATTTTCTAGGAAGAAACTTAAAATTTGTTTCCGTTTTTAAATTAATCTTTGACTCATGTGTTTTATTAGCAAATATTGTGCAAAAAATGTGATATATGCACACAGAATAAAAATCACAAACTCAAGAGTACAAAGTAGGGCCTTTCTAGTTATAAAAAAAATAGTATTTTTATAAGATAATTTAAACAAAAAAACACTACATTGCATCACCTTATAAATTTATCATAATTTCATTTAAGCGGAACTTTCTGTACTGTGGGAATGGTCCGACATCCCTGATGTATCCCTTGATTACGGGCCTGCCGCCTCTTAGTAGTACAGTATATATCTACAAATACTTTCAACTATTTGCTTCTGACATCAAATGGGAAAAACCTGCAGACCTGCCAACCCTTGGGATCGGGTGAGTCGGCAGGTCTAAACCTATGCCATGATAAATTTTGTGTTTTTCTGTCAGACTCCATCCGCATTATATTGTACAATAAAATAATACTTTAACCTGGAAAGATAGGTTTGTTTTAACACTTAAAGCAACACACACACACAAATGTATAGAACTATGTTGCAGTCGTAACTGTTACTAAGATTCCTAAAATAAAAAATATATTTTTAACTAGGCCTACCAAGTATAATAAATTAATCATAAAAAAAAAAAAAAAAAAAAACTTAAATGGTTTTGTAGCATGGATGGGAAGTAAACACAAACATAATTATTTCTTTGCCATTAGTACAAAATATACTATAAAATAATATAAAGAGTAGCTCTCAAATTTTTATTGAGTCGTTAAATATTTTGTGCTGAATCCGTAATCGACCAAATGTTGATGCACCATGTAAAATGATCAATAGTGTTGCAGGTGGCTGTGCATTTCCACGCTCAATGAACCGTAAAGTAGAAGGTCCACGGCAAGAGTTATTAGTCTAAGTAATTCTCTGAAATATCCTTGGAATTTTGCTCGTGTTTAGTAGCTTCTTAAAAGTCTTTAAATATATCTTGCTCCTTCTTTGATGCCGGTAATGTCTGCTGCCACTCGTCTTCGGGGTATTCGTCAAAATTATTGGTGTCGCCATCATGTGTGACCTCTGGTAGAATCGGGGGCTATGGAAATAAATATAATTGTGATTAATTTCTTTGTTGATAAATTAAAAGTTAAATAAAAATGTAAAGATATCTGTCCTTTTTCATGAGATATAAATTAATTGCTTTAAGAATATAGGTTCATATGGGATGAATCATAATACTGATTGCATATAAAACTAAATAGAATGATTAAATGTTGTTTCAATACTACCCTATCAGGCAGCACACTAGAATGGTATTGGAAAATAAAATAGACAAAAACATATACTGTAGTCCTTATTACATTTATATATGTTACATTTTATTACTTCCACTATTATACATTTTTTTTCATGGAAACAGGAAATAAACCAATGTCACCGATGCGATGCCGATGTCTCTAACAGGAGGCTGATGCCTTTCAATGAGAGTGTTTAGTTTAGACGGAAGCATCAAGAGGGTACTGGTAAGCCATTTCTCAAGGACCAGCCAGGGCCCAGAGGCAAAACAATTCACTTTTCTCATTTCATTTTTAAATTAAGTATCTAAATAATTAAGGCTGTGCTTTAGGGGGTTTGGCCCCAACCCTCACCGGGGAACTACCCTATTAACCCCACTGGGACTTTGCCAGCTGCTGTCCCTACCATTGGGGGCCACAGGGTGCAGGTCAGTTTCCATTTAAAACTAGCTGTTTATTGCTGTGGTTTTATAAAAGAACTCATATTTAATTCATCTAAATATATACAGTATATATTTTTTTTAAATATTTTACTATAATGTTCTCTTTTCGGCTCTCCCTAGTTCTTCACTCAACAATAGACTCTCCTCTTCTAAATGTGATTAATTCAAACAAATTTCAATCCCAGCATATATATAATGAGTGAAGTAAAGCATTCATTCTCCGAATCAGTAATTGTTACAATATAAGATTTGCATAATGGGATGGAGTAATATCACATGCAACACTATGTACAAAACTGTATCTTCATAAAGTATTTCTCCACGGTATCGTAATACAGTGAAACATCTGTACATCACTATTAGCACTGATGTAGGCAGACATCTGGGTACCAACACTTTTACAAAATGTAATTTATTAATGGAGGAAATCTAAGTGAATTTCATATTTATTGTATTTTTGTTTCTACTAATGGAAAAAAAAATTTGTTGAAATTTTCATAGGAAAGAAAATGTCAACATCGGTCAAATCTGTTTTAAATAATTTATTTGTTGTCATTTCACATTAATCATACACCCTCACTGGTTTAGTGACATTATAAGCACAGATCTGTTTATATTAAGGTTCCTCTAAATTGGTGGATTTTTGGGGGTTTACTCTGGGAATCCCCTTCTCACAAAAAAAAGAACAAATGATAATATTATAAATTGAAAGCATGTTGTAGCCAAACTAAATTTACCAATGCAAGTCTACGAGCCATCTTTGATTTTTTTTTTCCAAAATTATCTATAAAACTCAGCTGAGTTAATTTTAGATGATACCCTATACAGTGGCGGATCCAGGGGCCGGATTTATCAAACTAGAAATCAGCTTAAATTCGTCTTCAAGCCATTTTTTGCTTAAGTCAGATTTATCAATGTTCCTTGAAATTGATAAATCCAGGGCCTGGAATTCAAAATAGAGGGGGCCTTGGGGGTTATTATTATTTATATTTTTATTATTATTTTTATCATTTATTTATGTTTTATAGGGAATGTATATTAGGTTATTATGTGTTGGCCTTTCAGTTGGAAGGTCAATGCCTACACACTGATTATAGGTCTATCGCTTGTATTCAATATTCACAGCTGACTCAACAACGCCCGTGCCACATGGTCATGATGACATCACATCACGATTTGATTGTAAACATGCACCATCTAAGACAATTTTTAAGCTAATATTTTGCTAAAATGGTTTGATGTATTTGCTTTTAAGACATTTGCTTAGCTGAAATTGATAAATCCAGGGCCTGGAATTCAAAATAGAGGGGGCCTTGGGAGGTGCTCACTTTTTTTGCCTGAGGACCATGGTACATAAAATTAAGTGCAAAATTAGGGGTTGGAATATAACTGATGAACTATGACAATTTTTATATGTACTTTGCTATAGCATAAGTAAATAGTATGTACAAAAACTGAAAAAAATCTTTTTTTTTTAAGTTATTAAATTATTTAGTTACTATTATTATTATTAACAACGAGCATCGAGCAAATATCAAGTTAAGTATTAATTTGGTTCAAAGTAGGCCTCAATCATTATAGTTTATCTTCCCAATTGCAGGTTCACACAGTCAAATGCAAGGATATATATATATACTTCAATCCCCTCCTAAGCAATAGACTATAAGTTCAAATAAATGCCTGTCTAGTCAAATCCAGACATATCGTACTCAGTGTTTATTACATATTGATCTTTATATATTATTTTTCAGGCTGATTTCCTTTAAATTGTGAAGTGCGTGGATGTTTTATGCATTATCGCACTATAAGAATTAATTATCATAAATTCTGATTTATTGGGGAGGATTTTCTAGGTTTTTTTGCTACTTGAATGTAAAATAAATATAAAAATGACTGCCTAAGGCGAGATTTATTTTACACCTTGTTTAGCGAACCCGCCAACTACAAATACTGATGATTTCGAATAAAAATAAAATTTTATTTTTGGCCAATTAGCACACCTGCTGTTACGAGAAAGTGGAAATTTCATAAAAAAATAAAAGTTTTCATTTATTTTTATTACGCCCTCCGCTGCCTTGAAATCTCCAAAGATATGTATATTTCTTCCTAATTATATAAATTTGAAGCATTTAACCATCCTATTTTACATTCAATAAACATTTTATTTTTATTTTCTCCTCCGTCTGGATGTTTTGGTAAATATATTTGCTTTTATACTATATTTTTTTATTCATTGTACTTTACTTTAACATTTTTCATCTTTCTATGTTCATAAATATTACTTGGGTGGTAGAACCAAGTCTTTCTCAGATAAATTACAAATTAAATTTTGTACACTTTGACACAACCTTGGGGTGGACAAGACATACACTGATTGGAAGCAAAAGGTAAATGATGTAAACCTTTTTCTAAACCACAAAGGAAAGGCACTATATAAATATTTGTAACATTTAACCACTATACCTTTTACACAAGGTCAGTGATTTAACCTAAATTCAGTATAGGCCTATTTGAGTACAATGTCTGTTTAAGTTTTGTACACTTACAGTACATTATCATATACTTTTATGTGCTATGATTAGCAAGAATATACATTATTTTCTAAATAGTCAATTTAGTAGCCAGCTATAGCATTGATAAGGTTCACTTGGTAGACTCTCTAAGAGACTGTGTCTCAGTTAGCAGTTGAATCATCCCAGATGACCCAAGTAGTCTTAGAAATCTATATGTAGCTGCTTTCTGTTATTATACTTTATTTTATAAATATACTCAAGTACAACATTTTGCAAATGTAATATACATTTAAGTATTTATCTTGAAAGCTCAAGTAAATTGCAAATCAGCCTGTGAATTTTGACTTTTTTTTTTGGTTGTATGGTAATGATTTATCATCAATATTTATGAACACCTTGCAATCATAGATAATGTGCAATAAATTGTTCTATAATATTATTATTCAATAATACATGTTAATAAATTATGCCTAATATGTAAGTTCAGAGAGTTTTGAATTATAAATTTGAAATAAGACTGAAAATACCTTTTAAATAAGTATATCCTACTGAATTTGAATATTATAACTTGTAACACATGGTCACCTTGTTTGTTATAAAATGCTTCTTTTATCCTGAAAAATTTAGGGGCCCCGGCTGGCTTGCTCCCTCCCCTTGAATCCGCCACTGGTCTATGTGATACTTACTTTTAATTTCTTTTCCCTAACATCTTCCCAGTTAACTGCTTTGAACCACTTGTGATTCAAGATGTCCTCAGATCCGTTTTTCATGCAACCAAGACGACGCGTACGATCTAATACTAGTAACTTTTTTATAAGATCTCTGGAAAAAACAAAACATTCATTTTTTTTTTTATTCCTGAATCAAGCAACAAAATAATTAATATATTATTTCAAATATTTATATTTCAAAATGATATATACCTTTAATATCAGTTTTCATAAGTATAAAGAGCAATTGAATTTAAAGAATCAGTCGTAGCTATTAATACTTCGTAGTTCTGTTGGAAGTTGCATGTAGTTAATGCATGACTGAGCACACATCAACATTTTAAAAGTACTTAGCAACCAACTTAAACATTATGCATATGTTATCAAAATTTAACAAAAATTGTAACTAGTTTCAGATGTTGTTATAATTTTGGGAGATTGTGGATGATAGCTATGAACATATTTACAGTCAAAATATTAAACTTGTGATAAGTTTTGATCTGATGTCAACATTAATTATTGATTTTTTCCGAACTTCAACTTGCGAAATTGCCCGAAGTTTTAGGAACATGTCACTTATTGCTTCAAAGACACCAGTATATTGTATGATAAACTCCAGATCCAGCTTGCAAACCATTAATTTAAATTGATTAAATGGCTAAATACAAAAGAATTAGATCGCAGGTAGGCAAAGGGTGGCCTGCAGCCTATCTGCGGCCCAACAGCAATTTTATTGAAGCCGGCAAAAATATGCGACAGCGGACTGCCTACCATTGGCTAATAAACCCCTTGTTGATACCGCCTAAATCTGTAAAAAAACTAATTTTAAATCCGAAGTGGTATAAAAAAACAGTGCAAGGATTTTACCAGCAAACTAGAAATGTCAAAGTTCACTTTAAAAATCCAAGTTTGTGTGTGGCTCAATGTTATATCAAAAATTTGCTTCGGTCCTCCTACCCATTTCGATGCCCACACAAGTCTATAGTAGTGGTCGAACCGGTGACATTAACCACAGCCAACAAAGTGCTGGTTCATCCAGGGCTCAGTTGGTAGACAAGTCTTCTCAGATAAGGACTTAAAATGGAGGTCAATTGTATATCTGGCTTGTGGGCACTTTAATGATCCAATTGCATCTTTCGGAAGAGCAGGCTGGGGGGTTATGCTGATAGTATAGATACTTTTAGCCCCTTTCATTGTGGAATTATGTGAACATATACCTACTATACCCTCGTCTAGATGCTGCACAGGCTTTGACGAGTATTCAAAGATGTAGAATGAGAAGTACTAGTACAGCACCTCAGCTAGAGCCATAGATCATGCCCATCCGCAATACAGCACAATGACATTGCTGAGTTATGGATTATTATCCTACCTTTAGCTTTTATATTCCACAACAATCACGAATCATGTTAACGGCAACCTGAAAATTGTCTGTTTGGGAATTCCACAATGAGATTTATTTCAGTTAAATAGGATTTAATTTAATTTATCCCGGAATAAGTTACAATATAAATTATCAATGGTTGAATCACTAGGATGAGAGCAGAATCCTTTAATTAAAACAAAATCTAACTGGGATTTTCAATCCACTCTAGTGGGATCGGATATGGATCCCATTATTCTCTCACTTTGACTAGGGCAGATCAGACCTTATATACAGTGTTAATTTCAACAAAGATTTACAAGGATATGGATAAAAAAGCACACAATCAAATAAAAAAGAAAAAAGAAAACACTGTTTTTTGTTTCTGTTTGTGTTAACAGTTACAGGACAAGTAACTTCCCACACAAGGAACATCTTTGTCATGTAAATTTTCACATTTTCGCATGCTCACCGGTTGATCGCCTCTCAATTGGTGTTGTATATGAGAATGTTCATATACAACACTAATTGTATATGAGAATGTTCAAGATCTCTGTACAGGGTCATGTTCTTTTTTCATTTTCCACATGTTCTAAATAAACAAACAAAACAAGGTATGTTAAGCCTTTTCTAGGATGCTGGCCGTGTTATTGGTAGCTGGTTAATTTCAGTTGACCTCATACAGTAGATGGATCATCGATGCTAGATCCGCCACTGAACTTATGGGTATACTTTCCTTTTTCCTCTTTCCTTCCTTTTCCTCTTCTCAATATTTTTTGTTCTTTTTTCAAACATTTGCATGCACGACTGGGGAACAGGCCCCTGTGCAACCCTGCCCATCCCCTCCCCCCACTGGATCTGCCCCCGTCTATATCTGATAATTATAAAAAAAGCTATTCTGGATCCTGTAGAGATGTCTTATTACCAATCTGCTATACAGTAATGACATGGAGTTGTGATTCATTTTATTTTCTTTCTCTGTACAAGGGGGCCTATAGGCCTACTGTACCTTCATGATCCTCATCTGTCAAGATTTATAGTCATAACCATGGAGACATAATAAACTACCTCCATGGTTTAAATAGGAATGTTATATATTGGCAGAGTAGCAGATAAACTCAATGAATTATTATAGACCTGTAAGACTACTGCAGCAATCTGCAAAATCCTGAAAATGTTAAAAGAAGGATAGAATTACCTACTATTTCTTGAAGAGTGTTCTTTAACATGAACATGGGCCATATGCAAACAAGACCAAAGGTTTAAATATCATCTGAAGACTGACGGTGCATTATAAAGACTGACTCGTATTGGCTCTAGCTAAAACATGACAGCAGTGATTAGAATTGTATCAGGAATTAAAAGTTTAAAAGGCTTTAACAGAAGGAGCGTTATAAATAAATTTATGCCAAACATAATTAGCCTATTTTACATACATTCACAGACCCATATTGTATCACCAATCTTGAATTTAGAAGCCACAAAGTCCCACAAGAGAAAATAATATGCTAAAACTAGGCACATTTCCATGTGTGCAGATGCCCGGGGAAAACCTAGTGTGTAAAATTGGGCATAAATTATGGGGGTGAGCAGTGGCAGATCCAGGAAATCAAAAGAGGGGGCCCGGGGAGGTACTTTCACAGACGGAGGATCTATACCACCTCAGCTCCACCATGGTTGGGGCTGAGGTAAGAACATTTGTGATTATGGCACATCTAGATGACCTGAAATTGCACTCTCAGCTTAAAATTTGAATATAAATTTCTCCATTAAAAAAAATTTTGAATAATTTGGAGGGGAGAGGGGGAGGGGCAGGCTGACTGGGTCCCCTCCCTCCTTGACTGGTGAGCTTATACATTAAGGTGGTATAAAATTTTGTTAAACTAAAGATTTTTACACACATAATTGACGGCACTTGAGAGTTAAAGATGTGCGTTTCCTGTTTCATTTACTGATGATTCCAACTACTAAAGCATGGCTGAGCTCACATTATTGATTGCAATGCAACAATGTTGACTTCTTCAACACAAACGATTTCGCAATGCACGAAAGATGAGGTTCAGTTGAAGAGACAGGTGAAAAAAACAACAGGAATCACTTTCTAATCAAGAAAAACCCTGCAGCAAACAATAGGCCATCGTGACCTACTGCCAAAATTACAAGCTTTCACGTCATTCAAGAACAAGACAGGAAGTATGATCTGTTGATGTTCACCTGAGCGTACTGTTGGTCGGCCCCTGATTGTGATCAAGTCAATATATGGCCGGCGGAACCGGGGTGCCCAGGCCCCCAACTGTTTGGCAGAAAATATATGGATGCCTATGCAGACTTTTGCATGATTGGCTCCCTCACAATTCATATTCCAATTCATCTTACTAATGGGCCCCCAAAGAAATGTGACGAAATACTGGTCCGGGTGTGAAGTTGCACAGTGCAAAGATTGCCTGGACTCAGTAAAAACATTCAAATCATATCACTCCAAAAAAATGTATTCAATAAAAAAACTGTTTATAAATTCTGGTGGTCTTATTTTAAATACCAATCATTCAAGGTTGTCTAATTTGCATTAATTTATAGTACTCGTAACTTGTTAATAATCAGGAGTGACGCTTGGCCACCTGCCAAATAATTCTGTATAAATTACTGGAAAATTATACAGAATATAAAATGAGTTTCTGTATCTTGAACATGCCCCAGGAACGTATTATCTAATTTCTGTCTATTTTCCCCTTAATGCTGTACTTTTTAGATACTGAGATGTCAATGTAGGTTGTTAAATCTGGGTCGCATAACCTGGAAACTGTCTATGTGTTTAAAGGGGATTCATGATAGTTATTTATGAACATAATGTTGTGTGCATATCCAATCCATTTGACTAAGTGAAAGGTGGATGTGAAGTTGATACAAACATGTAATTAATCAACTCTGGAAGACAAGTTATTACCATTTTAGGTATGATGAATTCTACAGCCCTAGAAACATAAACCTCATCTAAAGTAGTTAGATGATTACAAAGGAACAAATCATTATATAGGGCCCCAGTTCAAGTACAAAGAAAATATTATCTGTGTCTTCCAGGTAATTCTCCGGTACGAAACTGCTCCGACAGTTGCATAATTGGATGGAGATGGATGGATGGATTTATTCGAAGTAAACACTAAGAATAACCTACGAAAGTCTGACACCAGGAGACAATCCCCCACTCTTTTCCAAATAGTTTGCTGCGTTCCTTAACATGCACACGCATGCATCTCTAATTTATCTTGTACCAATTATCTAACCATCTGCAGTATCTGTGACGATTTCGACTCAGAAATTACTGGAAAAAATTCTGAGTAAAAATTAAGCTCTCACAAAGGTGGTACATGTATTAGGTAATAATGAATTGATTATAGCCAGATGCTTTATCGAGAGTAAGCGAATATAAACAGCAATTGATCAATCCACTTGACTGAAAAAAATAATGTACTCAAGTTTATTTCATCATTCCAACTACTTCACATAAAACCACACTTTTATAGCATTAGTCCCAAGTCTTGCGGTTCTCCCGGAAATCAAGGAGGCCTCCCGCAGTCCTGCAAGCAAGAAAATATCCCATCTTCCAACAATTCACAATATTTTCATGCTTTTACTAACTATATTATCAACTGTCTTCTACATAGCAACATAAATTTCGATGTGTTAAAAAAGCTCATTAAAACATATCTCTCGGAAGTGGCTTCTTCTAACTTGACACCCCTGACTTGGAGAACAGTTTGAAACCACTTCACTGTTTCCTGCTGACACGAACAACATTTTAACTGTCATTAGGGCACTCAATGACAGTTTATACTATAGGCTAAGTTCATATTCTGTCCTTATTTTCCACTACGCTCTGCATGAGCCAACTCAACTCTACTGTATTTCTGATGTTATATAAAGGCAATACTATATTGACTAAATGAATGATTAGTTCCAAAATGAACTAACTCAGTCTTGTATGTACACGACAGTTAGTCATTATCAGACAGTTATTCTTTATTTGCACATGAACCAATGGCTTATAGTGTTGTTGTAATGAATGGTGCGCTGTTGTATTTTAGCCCTACAGCTGAAATATAAGGACAGAAGTCGGAATTTAACCAGGGATGAAATGATCTTTACGGTTCAATGCACAGAAAGAGGCCAACACTGAGCATAAAGCACAAAATACTCTGGAGTGAGGCTGTTGCACTTTCTAATACAGATATTTTAAAAAGGTGAGGTTCAGGTTAATCTTTCTCTATGGGTTAAGTCCCTCAAAAATATAATGTTCCCCCCCCCCCCCCGGCACCCCTTAACATTTACAAACTAAAATAAGTTATGTTTAAGTTAAAAAAAAAGTAAAAATTAAAAATCATCTCATGTTACCTTATTTTGCCAGTTAACTCACACTCACAGGGATTTAGCCCCTCCACTTTCCCTTCGCATCACCCTCATCATCCCCCTCCCAACACAACACTCCTAAATACGCCACCTGGAACGCGGGTGCACACACCCAGAGTGTGTGTTTATACATAATACAGTATATTAAAGACTTTAAAAAAAAGGCCAAATTAAAAAATGGATTAGTTCCTAATTAATATTCATCAGTAGTACTGTAAACAGATCAACATAGTAAAAATAGTATATTTAGGATTACAATACAGAATTGTTTATGAGAACATAGGGGTGACCAGAACAAGGGGAGGTGACAATACATCATGACCATACAGTATAATCACATCAATACTACCTGTATATATACATGGCCATACAACAGTTTTGTTATATAAAATTGGACAGGGTTTTAGATGGTTATTTTAATCCTCTATGTGAATTATCTGTGTGGATAAGCAGGGATGTAGTTATGGCACAACTACCCAGCCTTGAAATTTTCCACCCAGTCTAAATCTAATTTCATTGCTCGATCCACCCACCCTTTTAAGTTTTAACCAACTTTTCTATTCTTAAAATTCATTCTTACTTTTTAGAGTTTATTAATGCTATTACCTAAACCTCCCTCCCCTTAAAATGTCTGTCATCCCCCCCCCCTTATTTTTCTAAAGCTCCAACCCTGGATACAGGTCTACATCACTCAGACTTCAGTCAGTTCATAAAATGTTCTTATTTGGTAAGATATATAGGATACAAAATAATTTGAATGTGTTTACAGTAAAATACATGTTTTATCAGAATATATAATTTTATCAATGTGAAGATTTTAAACTGTGAAGAAACAACTGGAAATTCAAATATATATTTTAACTGTGTTTGATAATAAAGATTGCATTGAATTGAATAAAGAAGAAAAAATAATAAAGGTTTAAATATTAATAGGTTTTAAAATATTACAGGAAGATCAAATAAGCACTTGATAATGGCATTAATAGGTAGTAGGCTGTACTAAAAGCAAAACCTCATCTGTGGTTTGCAGTTAAAACAAACAAGAGATAACCAATGTTGTACAAAGCAAAACCATTAGACCACATTGTTATACAAGATTAACTACCTAGTTAAATATTGACATGTTTATGATTGAGCTCCTAGGCAATGTACTCATCTCACTACAAGTATAGGAATTTGCTATCCTCTGGTTTATTAAGAAAATCCGCTACCATTATCATATTAAATACGGTAGGACTTTTGGAACAAGAATTTCAAGGCCTTTTTAAATGCAGTTTACAAAAATAATATTAATCATAAAGAAAAAATACTGGCATTACTCTGGGGCCCAAGTGAATTATTTGGATCATATAATAAGTATAATTGGAGGTTGGTGTATAATTAAATGGAACATAATATAGACACAATTATATACGACATTGATTTCATACTTTTAAGATATATGCAATGCCACAGCCAAGATTTTCAAACAGTGTGAGACAATATCAGGGTGGACCCACTATGAATAAATACAAATAACGTGGACACATTTTCTTAACAGTTGACCCATTCTACCAAAAAAATACGAAAAATGTGGACCCATTTATTTAAAGTTTAACCCATTTTATGCTAAATATGAGAAATCTGGACCCATTTTTTTTTTAAAGTGGACTCATTTTATGCATAAAACTGCAAATTTTGGACCCATTTTTTAAATTGAACCATTCTTCATGGACCCAATAGAAAAATTGTGTGGGACTGTCCCAACCGTCCCAATAGCTGGCTACGGCATTGGATGTCTATGCCTATTTGATATTTTTCCTTTCTACATTTAATCAAGTACTTACAGTAGGCCTACATCACCTTCCATATTTTACTCCTCTTTTTTTCGAATGTTGATAAAGTAATAAATATAATAAACTAACTTGAAAAGAAGAAAGCTTCTTTAAAGAGAAAAAAAGACCAAACGAGTATAACACTGGTGGTGTTATGTTATAATCAGTTTTATATTTATAAATTAGCAGTGCATAATCAGACTATTATCACACAATATTATTTATTTTGCATGTAATAAACATTACACTACCAAACATGCCTATGGGAACCCATACCTGGACTTGTTTGGCAGCAACATACACCAGAACCAGAACTATAGAATTGACAGTAGAGTAGTGATGAAAATTGTCATCAGTTCATATTAAGCTTAATGAGCCAGTAGTGG